TGCACTCCATCTGCTGTGCATCTGTGCATCTGTGCATCCGTGCATCTGGCCCGCATCTTTCTGCCTTCCAATGAACTTCAAACTGCTTGGAATTTTACGACTTTTACGACTTCTAGATGTTTATGGCCAAAACAGCAAAGCTGTTGTGGTGGAAAACGAGTTCCATCGTCGTGGCATCAACGCCCCCACGAAGTGGCAAACGCCCAGACACCACTTGCCGGAATTCTCTTCTCTGTTCAGCGATTGATTTTTTCCGATTTTATGGTTTTTTATTCAAACATTTTTTTGTGTTGAAACAAAAAAAAACATTCACTTTTTCTTGTGGCACTTTCTTTCTAATCGAAAGTCGCGGTCTTGGCTGGTGGGTGGACGTGGCGGGGGTGGGGGTGCAGCATGCGTTGGCCGCTTAAAAATTACAAAAATAAGTAAAAGCCACAAAGGAAAAACATGGCCAGACACCTGTTTAGCCCGAAAAAGAGTTTGGCCTCGAATATCACCTTTTTTTGAACAATGGTTACCCGATAGAAATCTACTCGAAAATTTGCCTATTTCTTTTTCTTTTTGTTTAAACGATAGAAAGTTCCATTTTGAGATCATAAAAGAAAACCCCCTGCCTCCTCCAGCACTCAATAAATTTTTTTTTTTTTTTTTGTAAACAAAAACAAAAATGTTCTCCCCCGAAAAAGCATTGCACAATTTTCCCATTTTCTTTTCTTGTATGTAAAATTAAAAACAAATAAATAGCAACAACAAACGATTGAGAAAATAAACAAAAAACAAAGAAAGGCGAGGGGCCTTCGGGGGCCTTCAGTGAGTAGACAATGGTGATACCCTGGAGGGGGTGGGGGGAGGGGAGGGGTGTTGAGGATACTCGTTGAGCTTTTGGTGGGTTTTCTTGTTTTCTGTCAACTGTTTTCCAATCCATCTTTTGGGAAAGAAATGTAAAATAAAGTCCATTTATGCTTGAAACTTGCTTTCATTATTTTTAATAATTAATATAATCCTTTTTGGGTAGATATTTAGGCATAAATATATATTTATTTATTTATTCATTATTTATATTTTATTATTTATTATTTGGTATTATTTATTTATTTATTATTTATATTTGAATATTTTATTATTTATTTATTTTATTAAATAAGAATTCTCTAAGAATTCTCAAAACTGCGGATGCTTCAGATTTATATTTCCGTTTAGATCAATTTTTTTAAAAGATAAGATTTGAAAAAGGCATAAATATATATTTATTAAAATATATGTTCAAAAACTTCTTAAATATGTTTTATCCTCAAAACAACAGATGCTACTTATTTTTTTATTTAAATTTACATTCATTTTTGGAAAAAACAGGCGCTACGCTTGAGACTGAATCAAAGATCTTTCTGTATCTACCAGTAATTCGTAGTTTTCTTTAATTTTTCTTATATCAAAACAAACTCTAATATTGGATAAATCGGCAGGCCATCTATTATAATATTTATAAGAATTAGACACCTGTATCTTTAGAATCTTGGAGATCCCATAGGGTTTTTTTCTAGTATTTCCTGTATTTTCTTTCTTATTTTTCTCCCCCTTTTATGTATGTTACATACCTTTTCCCACATCAAACACACCCCTTTAATACTCTACAATTAAGGGGTGAATCCCGCAGTGAAGCCAGTGGGCAGTGGCAGGCAGAGGGGTCAACAGCATTGCGGGGCAGGGGCACAGGTTTTCAGGCCATAAAACCGGGCCGGAAACCGTTTCATTTTCTTGACTTTTCGCAAAAGGTGTAAACAAAGGCTGGCGGGGCACTCGCACGGATTGAGTTCTAAAGTGTTAAAAACTACCTGTAAGATACACAGATGATACGGCCAGAGAGCAGCCAGCATCCAGAGAGACTGCAGACGAGGGCATGAAATTGTTGGAAAAGATATGCCATGAAATGGGCTTTCGTCAAATTAGCGTGGCAGCGTTAACGATGGCTGCAACACACCGAGAGTATCTAACAGATGGGATTCTGTGTGATGTTCCTGTGGTTCTCTGTGTTTTCCCCCTCGTGCACCGCCCCTGCACTGCCCCTGGACTGCTCTGTGGGATATTTCGCACTTTACCTTTGGGATTCCATGCCGTCTAGTGTTCGTCTGCTACCTGTGGCATGTACTGTGGCATGTACTGTGCCTTGATTTATATGTGTGGCTGCAAAAACTGCATTCAGTTTTTATCTGTATCTGCATTTGCATGACAGAAACCTTGGGCTGTTATCTAACTCGAAGAATGCATGGACCTGGCCTGACTTTAGCACTTGATCTACACACACACACAGATACACACACACACAGAAGAACCCACCTCTAAAGAGGGAGAGATTCCAGGGTCTTCGCCGTTTGAGGCCTCATAAATTCTCTCGTCGTTTAGTTTTTACGATTGTCGGCTGGCTTTGTTTGGTTCAGGCATACACACAGATACACAGATACAGATACACAGAGACATGCCCTGGCACACACACACACACACAGATACTCTCGTGTAGCGTTGTATCTTTCAACGTTTCAGCTCTATCTAAATACACGCCGAAGAGTTGAAGTGGAGCCAGCAGCCGCCACAGCCAGCCTCCTGCCAAGATCTTCTGCGTACTGTACTCTCCAGGAAGACTCTCGGGGACTCGGGTACTCGGGGACTCCGAAAAACTGGTCCCTGGCTTGGGCCAAAGTTTGCGTGTTGTTTGCTGAAAAAGACCCCAAAAGCAACTCTTCTTTGGGCGGGGGGGGGAGGTGCCGAGGGGAGATTCATTCAGGTAGTAGCCCTAGCCACTGTCTAAGATGTGGCCCCGGGGGCCAAAGATATTTCATATTTATTTTTCAGAAATATTGTGGTTTAAATAAGAGATTGAGGAATGTATCTGTGATTCAAGCAAGGCGTGCAAATATTTTAACGGTCTTTAAAGAACATTTCGGGGAACTTGTTTTTCCTTCATTTGGAATATAATTTCAGATCCGAGTCTTTCAAATAATACAGGTGCTAGGGGAATTGATTGAGGCCGTTACTCTTGCGAGTCAAAGGCATAACTGGGGACATGTTTTCCCTATTCTAGATGTACTTTTTGCCCGATTTTAGGTGATCTAACTATTTATCAATGTTTAAACGATATCTGGTTATATTTTCTGTGTTTTTAGTTCATTTTGAAGCCCTTAAAGTCCGAAAATACCAAAAAAAAATTCTTCTTTTTCCCTGGAAAATGTTCTAGAAATATGATATTTTTCCAGCACTTAAAGAACCCAAACAAAATCTGTTTTGTTGTTAATCTGCCCCCAAAATGTGACTCTTCTTTGGGATATCCATCGGTTACTCATCAGAGCTGCTGGGTCTGAGGGATCTGTTGGATCTGGTGGGTCTGTTTTTAATTATGACACATTTAAGAAAGCCCCGAAAATGTAAAGCGACTCCAAAAACGCTGACGAGTCAGACAAAACTCCAAAAGAAAAGGCCGCCGCCGCCGCCGTCGAGATGGAGAAAGGGATAGAGAGCCCGACCTCTCCCTCTCTCTTTAGAGACTTGACGAAAGTACTTTCATTTTCACGCTCATAAAATGGGACTCGCATAAAACTTGAAAATTTTGTCATAAAAAAAAATCAAAAATGTACGAAGCGACATAGCATTTAAGCGGCTTAAATGTCATTTAAATAAACCTCCCCCTCGCCCCCCTCGACCAAGATCTGGGGAGGTCAAGGGGAGACTACCTTTCGAGTCGATACTTGAGACCCTTTCACTCTATCATCGCGAGCAACGGGGAGGCAGGAAGTGGAAGTCTGCCAAAAAGATCGAAGAGCCCCCCCAAAAAAAATCAAAAAGAAACCCCTGGGAGACGTCTGGATCTCTGTGTGATTACACTTTAATCTGGTTATAATGAGGCTGGAAAATTACCCCAACGGATGTGCTGAGAGCGTGCCTGGCCGCAGGAATGGGACTCCCGACTGAGATTGAGAGCCAAACCTGTGGTTGACATCCTGGTTGCCAGCCTGTGGGATCACCATTCATCTTTCAAGTGCAGCAGAGATCGGATTACCCAGGCGAAAGAAGAGCAAAAGAGATTTCAGTGTGGAGAAGGGACAGAGCAGGGCAGAGACGGAGACAGAGGCAGAGCAAAGCAGAGCAGGGCAGAGACAGAGGCAGAGACCAAGGCCGAGGGAGAGACCGAGGCCGAGGGAGAGACGGAGGCAGAGACCCTCCGAGAGAACAAACGCCGAACCCCAAACACAATGCAAAGCAGACTCTATCGTCCCGAAGTTTTGTATACCCTTTATAGAGAGAGGGCCAAAAAGGGATACTATTTTACATAGAAAAAATACAGGAGTCCATCTTTATAGACGCGTCTATTCATGCTTATTGGAAATATAACAAAATACTTTGAATACTCCTCGCATATAAAACTTTCCGCCACACACGCTTTTCAAGGGTATAACAAAAAGGTAGAGAGGGAGAGAGGAAGATCCCACCGAAACCGAAAGACGAAACGAAGGAGACAACCGAGCAGACACGACGAGCCGAGCAAATACACTTGTTCGGGTCTGTTGTTGTTGTATGTTTCTGAAATATGATGCCGCCAAGGCGCAGGTCATAAATAAACCAAAGACACGATCGGACAGAGAAAGAGAGAGAGATGGGGAGGGGGGGAAAGAGTACCCCTGGCAGACAGGAAAGTGTTGTAAGATAAGCGTTAGATAAGCGCCGGCAAACGGGAGACATACCTGGAGAAAGGGAGACGGGAGAGAGGGGAGCGTGGAGTGTGGAACCCCAACAAAAAAGTTCTCTCGGCTAAGAATGGTTTTTGATAAGAAGAGCAATGAATGAAAGTTGTATAGTTTTTTGGTTGTTTTTGGGTTTTTTTGGGATGTTGGAAGGTATACAATTTCCTGGAAGTAGTGGAAGGAGAACATCAATTTGGTGTTGAGATACCCCGGAAGATGGGAGTTGAAACCCCTCTCCATCCAACTCTAGAATACCCTCTTCCCATTTACCTGAACTCAAATGGATGCCCGGCAAAATCACCGACGATTCCGCCTTGAAGCCTCCCGTCTGGAGGCCACTGCTGCTCGTTGGCTTCTCCATGGCCATGTCCAGGGTGGTGGAGCCATCCAAATCGACGAGGGTGTTGCCCTTGAAGAGACCCGCGCTGCGGTACTCCTTAGCAAAGGGTGTCGCCGCCTGGGCCGCCCCCGCGACCATTAATACCAGCCACACAATCGGGCACATTTCTTTTCTCACTTTGAGCCACTTCTCATACAGGTTGCAATCGACACACAGACACTCATACAACACGATAAATGGGCACCAGTCGATGGGGGGAATTATAATTTGGACGACGCGTGACACTTTCAATTAACACCGAGCACAGAGCACAGAGTAAGCGCGAAAAAAAACTGTATAACTTTTGATCATTAAATTAGTTAAGGTCGGGACCGTAAATTCAATTTTGCTCTCTTTTTGCGGCGTTTTCTTGTGTTCCGCCAGTTAGGGAAATTATGTGTGTCAGCAATTAGTTGGAGACGACCGCCGCCCGTCTGTCCGTCCGTCGAAGCCGGGGGCTGGCCAGGGCCTTAAGTGTGTCACACGATTTTCGGGCACTGCAAAAAGATAAGAGAGAGGGGGAATAAACGATTAGTGAGAGGCTATAAGGAAGGGAAGAGTACAGGCAATCACTTTCAAAAAAACATTTTCGTTGCATTTCTAAAAATGGATGGATTTGTTTGGTCAAAAACTGCAAGATCTATGTCAAGTTCCACATCGATAGATCTACAAATAGATCTAGACAAAAGACAAAAATGGAGTAGGGTAGAAAATTCCTTCTTTCTGCATCTCAAAACTTCTCCGAATTATAGAACCCTCTGAAAGGGTAGCACTAACATATATTGAATAACATTGTTTATAACGTTACTTTCTGTCTCTGCCATTCCCTCATTCTCATTCCTAACGGAACACATTGCCGACAGCTGTTCGAAATGCAGTTATGTTGACATACTCCAAGCGCAGGCGCAAGCAACGTTGCGGTGATATTTTCTATCAATCAAAAAAAAAACACACATCCACGTTAATTTCCATATAAATTTCCCCATAATCTGGTGGGCATGCGCGGGATGGAACAGGACTTGGGAGAGCGGATATAAGCCCACAGAAATTCCCGTAATGGGAATTAAGGAAAGGAAATTGAAAGAAAAATCCCAGCCTCTCCCACGCCCCGATCTCAATGAAGCGCTGTGTGTGCGAGGGAGAGAATCTGTGCGCCCTTAGCGCCGCTCATAAAAATATCAATGGAAATGCAGTTATTGTTCTTCTTGTTGGAAAGAGAGAGGGACACAGAAAGAGAGAGCAATGAAGCGCAGCGGAGGCGCAAGCACATGGTGCCAGCGTCTGTCTCGCTCGAACAGCGCTTAGGGGGAGAATATAATTAAAAGCAACAATAAAAACTGATGGATGGCCACACAGATACACTCTCGCACACACACAGAACCAAAAAGGCCTTTGAACAAAAACGAGTTTTAACAAAATATTTTTGCATTGCACAAAAAACAAACACACTCCACTCGCGCGCACAACAAACAAAACGCAATATCAAGACAATAACCGTTTTGAGTAATATCCCCCTTGGAAAAGGGAGCGAGAAAGAGCAGCGGCATGCACAGACAAGTGCAATGTTTGTTATTGCATGTCTTTGCCAGTCCTTTGCTTGTTTTTGCAACAAAACGAAATTGGCATACCTTTTTTTGTTTGTGTTTCCTTAAAGAACTTTTCATTAAATTCGTTTATTCCTTTTTGCACTTTCGCTTCACTCTCTTTTCGAACTAACGGTAAATCCGCGAAACGTATGGCGCACGCGAAGACAACAACACAGGCATAACTGCAAAACGTACGTTCGCTTTTGTTGTTAACTTTGATGACAAACAGTTCGTAGTCCGCAAATACGAAATTTTTGGTTCAAACAAATATATCGGCCAACAACCAAACGAGCGCGCGCAACGAACCGCACGATCGAAAATTCAGAAAAAAATTACACCATCTGTGTTGGCAGTGTAACCGAAGGGAAAAAATGTAACCCACTAAGGCCCCCTCTATTTAAACAGTTGAACGACTTGGGGTACTACTAATTGTAAATTCTTATTGTAGATTCATTCCATCCTTCCTTTTAACTCGCGAAAAACCCCGCGAATCTTTTATCTGAACTGCGCTGAAATTATTAAATTTTTATTATATTTGGTGGAATATTAAAATACCCCCTGGGCTTTCAATGGGTTAATCGTTCTCCGTCAAAGATTGGAAGCCATATTCCTCTATTTTGATATTCGATTTGATATTGCTAGCTAGCTGGGACTTCCATACCTGAACACATGATTTTATCCGATGGATAGATCAATTTTCTACTTGACTGGCTCATTTAAACTACTCCCTTTTATTGGATTTTGGATGTTTTAGCGAAAAAAGTCAATCGTGATCATTCTTGGCAACATTTTTTTGGTTTTGGTTCTTGTGAGCTAGTTCCTACGGGCTTTACCTAGGTACTTACTGGTAGCCTACGGTAAAATATTTTCCGCGCTGTAGATAACAGGGGTGGCCTGTTAAGTTTTATACATTGCTAAATGTAAAATTAACGCCATCTGTTGGTAGTTACATAAATTAGACATGGGAAACATGCAAAGAGAAATATTAACAGAGAAGATCCAACTAACAGAAATACACTTGCACCTTAACATTACGTTAACATTTGTCTCTCCTGCTCCTTATCAGAAGTTTACTTGCTTCCTTTAACAGCCTTGAAGATTTTGTTGGTAAAGAAAGTGGCAAAATCAAACGTAAACACAAAAATATATATATAATTTTTTGTTGGTCCTGGACCATCGAGCAAATGGCTGCCCAGCCTTTCGGGTTCTTCATAGCTGGCTTCGAGACTTCTTCGAGTACAATTTCCTACTTTTTGTATGAACTGGCCCAGCATCCCGATATTCAGAGCCGCGTTAGAGAGGAAATCGAAACTTTTCTCAAAAATGTGGAAGGAGGCGAGATACGATGCTTTGGCAGAGATGAGCTTCCTAGAAAGAGTCTTACCAGGGCAGGCAACGAAGAACCAGTTGAACATAAGTCTCCCAAATGACTATAAAATGCACCAGTTAGTATATTAACAAGCGTTCCTTGGTGATATATTTGTTCAATCTAATTTTGAATGCTCCATATCTGTAGGATTAATCCACATATGCATATTGCTTAGAGAACCACTAACTGGAACCAGCGATTCTAGTGATGCTATCCATCCCTGTGGAAATAAAATGGCGACAACGTCAAATTTTGAAAGCGACAACGACAAATATTTACAGCTGACAACGTCAAATTTTGCCAGCTGACAACGTCAAAATTTGCCAGCTGTCAACACGCCAATTTTCATTGGTTGAAAATATTCCAGCCAATTAGAAGGAAGAGGGGAGAAAAAATTTGTCCTCCACAGTGGTTGACACACAGTTGAAACTTGAAACACTTAAATATATTATTAGGGAGGTTATAATTAAATTAAGTAAATACAAATTAAATAATAGAAATAATAATATATAGTATTATAATAATATTTCAAGAATGAACGTTTCGGATCATTTATATCTTTGAATACAACTGTGTCTGTGAATTTAAAGCTTCGGCTATTGTATTTTCTTCATGTTAATTCTTGAAAAATCGAGATTTCTGTTGCTTTGGATACTGCCAGCTGTGTAATTATATTAGAAGTAATTACATAGAATCAACTGCAGTGATACTTGAAATGTATGAGTTTCAGCACGTAAATTCTTGATAATTCGCGGTACAACAAGTATTTTTTTTGTCTTTAGCAAGTGAGACAGTGGTTTTCATAGACTATAAATCTTGAATCCCTTATACAGCAAGTAGAAACATCCCATCAGAAGATAATTTGCATTTTTTCCCGGGAATGTACTAAATATGATCTTTCTTCTTCTTTAGTACATGCAGAAGTTCCATGATCTTAACTTTTAGGTATTCTTCTGCAAGTTGGTGGAGAGGAAGTCGACCTTTGTGGCCCGTTTACAAGTATTTCATTATAATACATATTTACTTAATAGTAATGCTTTATCTATTGGATTTTGGAACTAGCTAAGTTCTGTAGTGAATAGAATATAGAATTTCTTTGATCGGGGCTCTCTCTGTTCAGACATCGCCTCATAAGGCAGTACAGTCTCTCCTTTCCGGGCAACATCCTCACCCACATTCGCTGTGAACAGCGAAGGGTCTTTTGAAACCCTTCCATACTTTTGAGAATTAGTTGTAGCAATACCAGAGTTCTGTTAACGAAGGTTCTGTTGGACTTCAACAGAGAACTGTTCGCAGACTGCAGGAGCTTTCAATCCTCCACCGAAAACAACCCTCTGTGGGGTAACATTCTGTTGGGGGTGTGTTCCTTATGTTGTTTTATTCAAGTTTCGTCCAGAATTCAGCCAATCAGAGCCTCTCAGCCCTTGTTTGCCGGTCTGCGGCGGATGATATTTTTTTATTAAGCGGAATTTTAGGCGTCTTTGCTGTTAATTTTTTTGATGTGGCACATAAATTGTTTGTTATTGCCAGCGCAGGATAACCGTCGTCGTCGCAGTCGCCGTCGCCGTCGCTTGACCCACGGCCGGGCATCGGAAGTAACGCCAATTTCAGTCGCTCGCCGATTAACCAAGCGATTAGTCGTTCATTTAGTCGTTCCGTGACCATAACGTAACCGAACCGGCCCCAAATGCAACGCCAACACCAAGATCTGGTGGCTGCCGTGGAGGGAAATGCTAGGGATACCATCAAGACCTCCAGTCCCATTCCGACAAACACAAATATCCCGACTCCGCAGCGTCCATCGTCGCCGCGGCAGTTCTTCGAGCGACTCTACGGGCACCTCGAGACGCGCAGCAGCGAGAGCGGCGACATCGATGTGGGCACCCACCACAAGCCCCCGCCGCCCTGCGACACGCCCTACCACAGCGACGGCGGCAGCGTGTCGTCTCCGGACATCTCCATCAGCGATGAGCGCGTGTCGCTCGTTGGATTTCCCCCATATGACATCTATGGTGCCTCCAAGGATTACCCGCCGCCGCCGCAGCAGCAGAAGCACAGCTACGTGGATCCGCCTGGGATTACCACGGGAAGTGGGGCTCCCGTAGCCGTACTGCCACCTGGATTTCCACCTGGTTTTCCTGGTGATCCGCATTTCAGCGCTGGATTCACTGCCTTTTGTGAGTAGAACCTAAGATCTTATACTGCTTGCCAGGAGATTGAATAGATTACGGATGTTTGAGGTAGAAAATGTAACCCATTGAAGGATCCTAAAGAAGTGTCTTAATAGATATTTTGATTGGGTTTAAGTTCTTTAGAAGATTCCTTTGAAATCAAAATGAGGATACCCTGAGGTCGCGGCACGCGTGCCTTAGATTTTAACTCAAAAAAGGCCTTGAATTACGACTGGAACTAGTGAGGACGATATATAGTTCAAAAATATATCAAATCGGTCTAATATATCCATCTATATATTTAAAAAATATCTAAAGATAGTCTCAAGGTCTTACGGTGATCGGTAGCTATAGGAAAACTTAAAGCCATATCCGCTGAACGACACCAGCCTTCACCCAATAGAACACCTTCCATTCCCCCATGTTCCCTGTACCATAGAACATGTTTCCAATGATTCTTTGATTGATACACCCACAAATCACTGAACAACCACACTTTTCTGTTTGCCTCTCAACCCTTAGATCTTATTATGAGGTTTGTTGTTCTTAAGCGCTAAGTACATGGGTAAATTTGAGCTACTACGAAATGTTGCCTAACTAAAAACCATACAGTTTGGTGTAATTTCTTTTGTACTACTTTGGGGGTGTCTTTGGAGTTTTCGGGTCCTCGGTGGTACCTGCCGGTGGCTTCTCCTCGTGGCACAGCAGGTTCATGTTACGTAGCTCCAGGCTGAGGAACATCTTTAGGTTCGGATCGGTGATCTTGCTGAGGACTATCTCTCGGGCACGCTCATCATTGTTGTCCAGAAGTTTGGCCAGCGTCTGGGCGTAGTCCAGCCAGACGCAATTGGCACAGCCGGACATGCAGCATGTGGTGGGCTCTGGGGGTATCTGAAAGGGGAAAAACCTATTAAGAAATCTGTTGGAAAAGGCTTCGATCTTGTGGAAGAACTTACCACAATGTCCTTTGGCGTTTTGTCGGCCAAGTGCCTGGCCAGGGAAGCGATAGCCCAGCGTCCTCCTCCACCTCCACCGCGCCTGAGGAGCAAACAGCGCGGGCAACTGAAGCCCAGAGGAGCCAGCATTTTGCACCAGATCCCGAAACTCTATGACTGGTAAGGCGTTGAGGAAGTGATGAGCATTTCACACGCCTTCACCGACAGAAACAGGTGCCGCCGAGTGTCGGCCCGTAAAGACTTGGTTCCGCCGGAACTACAAAAAATCGGATGCAGAAAAAACCCCTGATTAAGTGCAAGTGCTATTGAATATCCTTACAGCCAGGATTATGCAGGAATCAGCAATGAAAAAAGCTCCAGAAGGTGGGGGGAACGGCCACACAATGAGAAATGGGGAAAAGAAATTAGTTGGGGCAAAAAAAACCAGAAAAAATGAATGAGAAGAAGAAAAAAATTAAAATGCATTCAGCTGTGAAAGTTTTCGTTTACTTGCGGCATTTTCGTTTTCTTATGCGGTTGTATGGGGTCTAAGGTTCGAGGTTTGTGGCTTGGGGCGGGGGAGGGGGATTCAGGTGTGTTGCAGGTGTGGCAAGAAGGATAATGAAAAAGGATCATGCCGCACTGAAGGCAGTGAGGCAAATGCGTAATCATGGAAGCAATTGATGAAATTGTTTGCCAGCGGAAAAGGTTAAGTTATTCGATGGAGCTTTAATGAAACATTTCGAAGGAAATATTTATGTAAATAAATAAATATAGTTCTTAAAGAAGTGCTGACAATTTTCATCTTATTAAATTATGATTTTTTGTGATACAGTCGATAGATATATTATTTATTAGATAGATATATTATTTTTGGAGAATATAGCATTGTAGTGTTCTGGAAATAAATTCGTTATAGAGAAGTTCGACTGTATCTTAATAAAAAATTCTATGTTTATGGCTAAGATTCATTTTTGCTAAAATCTATTGCTATATGTACAAAAAACCAGCTCTTTGAAACTCTGGAAAGAACAAATATATCCCAATAACACATTTCGCATACTATTTTAAATCCTAGAACATCTCAAACCCTAGGCTATCCTGATTTCTTCTTTAAAAAATTTAGGAAATATACTGCAACTTTTTGAAACAAATACATGAATTATAAGGTTTTCCCTTCAATAAAATTAAGGAATTGTGGAATAGTTATGTTTTTAGATTTTTTTTGAAATTTAAAGTCGTTTGGGAATAGTTTTTGATAGGAATATGTTTGAAAATAGATATTACAATCCTGAGATCGAGACAAACTACTCTTTACGATATAATGAGATGATATAAACATCTTGAATCCAACATTTTGTGGACTGTCTCTCCGTCTAGACCGAAGTCTAACCCTCAACGCCTATTGTTTCTAAAACTGAAACTAAATCAAAGAGAAATCTATGAAATCTATACCCATACAATATTCATTTAGCTTCGAGCTGAACTTGTACAAATCATAAGTAAGCCAACAGAAAAAATTAGCATTGTAATTGAGCTTGACAGGAAACCTAAAAAAACAGACACACACACTCTGGAGAAAGTTCCAAAGGGGGAACCACAACAGAACCGTCCAAAGGACACTTGCATATCGTATTTCACACGTGATTTCAAAGAAGAGCCAGAAAGGAAGAAGGCGAAAAAACTTGTCGGGAAAAAAGAACTTAAGCCTGAAGAACTTTTGAGGCAAAAGGGGTAATCAAGTAAAAACTACTCGTAGAGATTACCAATGTACCGCCCCTGGGTCCACACTTCCCCGTTCCCCGATCCCCGATCCCCCTTTCAACACCCACCGAAACAACTTGTCAGCTTCGCCGTGTTACCTCAATTAGAAGCCTCTAAAACCCACCAAACAATGTTGTGTGGGTGGTTTTATGGGGGAGGGAAGGGAAGAGGGGGGGGGGGGGTCTAGAGCGGGGCATAATGTGCGGTTGGTTGGACCACGACAGAGCGACAGAGACACCACACTCTCGGCGAATGCAAACAATCGAATAGTCGGACGGATGGCTGGATGGCTGGCTGGGAGAGTCGTCCTCACGGATGATAATAATGATGATGATGAGAGGCTGAGGGAGGGAGGGAGTGCCAGCCAGCTGTTGGTATTGTTAAAAGTTTCCCGGATCAGCAGCATAGGATTGCCCAAAACGAAGAAGCAGTAAAAAACAGGAAACTTTGAGAGGACTGAAACACGTGTAAAATGCATTCTCTAATGTGCACCACAAACGCGATGAAGAGCCCGAGGGAGGCATTGCTTAATTATTTGTTTAACTTAACAAACACGCAAACAACATTCCGAATCGTTTAGTTCGTTGAGGACACGGCTTGATGGTTTGTTAATGTAAGATTAATTTCGCTCTAACATCTCTATTGTGTGATAGCATATGAATGGGCAGGGGATGGGGATTGGAATTGGGAATAGAAATAATTATGACTATGAATAAACGTTTACAAATTCGAAAGGCACTGAAATGATGATCTATTTGGAAATTTTTTGGGTATGGGAAGTACTTGAGGCTTTAGAAGTTAGGCCTATGATGTGGGGATTGAATATGCTATAAGAATGTATGTATGGGTGGGTAAATGACTACGATTCAGGAACATATCTTTAGAAATTTATTGGGAGTTTGGTGTAAATATAAGTAATATGGCTAGAAATACGCAGGATTGGCATAGAACAAACCACAAATATTCACCCCTTTGGCACTTAAACTTCGATTCGGAATACATAAGTATCTCTAATCTCAAAAATTTCTTCAACAAAAGTTTAGGGAATTCCCTTCAGCACCCTGTAACACCATTTTTTCTCCATTTCAGTGGCACGCCGTCGTCGCAAAGAGGGAAGACAGCGTCGCCAGCGAACCACCTTCAGCACCGAGCAGACGCTGCGTCTCGAGGTGGAGTTCCATCGGAACGAGTACATCTCCAGGAGTCGCCGCTTCGAGCTGGCCGAAACGCTGCGGCTCACAGAGACCCAGATCAAGATCTGGTTTCAGAATCGTCGGGCAAAGGATAAACGGATTGAGAAGGCGCAAATCGATCAGCACTACAGGTGAGTGGAGTACCGAAAAATGGAAATGGGAAAGGGGGTTGGGATTGGGCGAGGGTCTCCCCCCTTTTGAAACGGAAGTAATTCAAGGAAATGTCACAAGTTTAATTGATGTCCCCCACATTAAATTAACACGAAATTAATTTTACGACATTTATGCGCACACAAACGCAATTAGACAGCGGACATATCCTTATCGAGGGGGTAGTCCTCAAGCCGAGTGCCGAGTATTATTTGATGTAATCAATTTTTCAGGAACTTTGTCGTGGCCAATGGTTTTATGAGCTCTATAATGGGTCAGACTACACCGAGCTATGCCCCCGCCCCCGCCAGCAGTGCGACGTCCCTACCAGTGGGCCTCGCTTACTATCCAACGCTGCAAAAGGACAGCACGCAGGGCCAGCACGTAAATAACAATGGTGGACATCCAGATGCTAATTATATAGACATCGAAGAGCGATACGAGACGCAGCAACGCCGACGCCTTTCCTTCAACATCAGCAACAGCGTCGGTGGCGGCAGCGCAAGTGCCAGCAGTCGAGCAGTCAATACTTGCTAGCAATTAACCAGGAAACTACTTTTAACTGAGCTTTAACTTAGATTTAGCCACTAATCATCAGCTTAAGCTAATTACCGAATAAATTTAGCTGCAAACAAAATCACTTAACCAACGTATTTCTCTGGTTATCTCACCTCTTAGACACTAGTGAAAGTTTTTACAGAACATTACCACACTCTTGGTCCCCGCGGGTTTTTGTTTATATAAGAAAAGAGACAAAAAAAATTTTGTTTTTACAAATAGAGGAAAAAACTAACAAACAAAAATGCAGCCCTCTGGGGCAAACAGCTGTTGCTTAACAGAGGCATGTAAAGTGCAACAGTGACATGTTAGGCGCCAAGCGATAGTTACGATACTATCGATTTTCGTTGTATTTTCTATTATTTTTTATGTTCAAATCGTGTAGAAATGCCATTAAGAGCCATGTCCCAGGCCACATCGATCAATTCGCATCAAAATATACATTATTTTTCGAATACGGCGGAATGAAAGCCATATCAAATAGTGGATAACGAAAGTTTCACACTGGCGCTTCCATGGAGCGTTTTTCATCGGTATATTTACGGCATTTTCTCAACCACAACCTGAGCGGTTGTTAGCCGATGGTTTTCAAATGCAACTCTGAATAATTGTCATTCACAACGAAAGAACGGTATTTACTGCGAAAACGTAAACAATGATAGTGACAAAATAAACATAAAAGAGACAACAATCAGTTTTTGACGGATGGTGGATGGTGGACGCCGGATGGTGCCAGTGTGCAGAGCCTATTACCATCAATAGTGGCGCCTCTCGATAGTTTTGAATTGAATGATTTAACACATCGATACTATCGATAGTGCCCCCGATGGTTTGACACCTCTACCTGCAGCTTATTTGGTTATAAATTAACTTTAACCATGGCAAATCCAATGCGAATCAAGGAGGAGACATCCGGCGAAGATCCCCCCAGCACGGAGACCATCGAAATACCCGATCGGGAGGATGATGTAAGTATTAAGCTGAGATTTCGGCGTTGTAGCCACACATACACACACCCAGCCCACAGGTATGTGGGTTTGTGTGTGTATATGTTTGTATGGCGATGTCTCACTGTGACGCATCTTTAATGCGTTTTACTCGCCCGTCACGCCCCCCGTTCCGGTACGTGCGTCATGCGCCCAGCAGGACATATGTGAATTGGAGCACTTGCGTAAGCTATTTATCGGTGGCCTGGCGCCCTACACCACAGAGGAGGGCCTCAAGGTGTTCTACGGGCAGTGGGGCAAGGTGGTCGATGTGGTGGTGATGCGCGATGCCGCCACGAAGCGTTCGCGTGGTTTCGGCTTTATTACCTACACAAAGTCCGCGATGGTGGACAAAGCACAGGAGAACAGGCCCCATATCATCGACGGCAAGTATGTTGTGCTATTTATACATTTTTGTTACTTTGAATGGATACAAAAGATATTGTTTATTGCTTGCAGAACGGTGGAGGCCAAGCGGGCGCTGCCACGCCCGGAGCGTGAGACCCGCGAGACCAACATATCCGTGAAAAAGTTGTTTGTCGGCGGACTGAAGGACAATCATGACGAGGACTGCCTGCGGGAGTACTTCGTGCAGTTTGGAAGAGTGGTTTCCGTCAAGCTGCTCACCGACAAAACCACCGGCAAGCGTCGGGGATTTGCATTTATAGAATTCGATGATTACGATGCTGTGGACAAGGCAATACGTGAGTAGAGAGTGTCTTCGTACTAAATTCCTCTGTACAATATATTTCTCTGTCAGTTCAAAAGCAACATTCCATTAAGTACGTGCACGTGGATGTCAAGAAATCTATTTATAACTTGGAGAAGAAAGACAAACAGGCCCAGGGCCCGCCGACCAATGGCAGCAAGCCGCCCCAGCAACAGCCACAGCAACCGCCTCAGCCGCACAATGGGAACATGCAGCCGCCCGGCTACCGTCCGCCTGTGCCGCCACAGCAAGCGATGCCTCCGTATCCGCACCAGCCGCCGCCACCAATCAATGCCCCGCCACCCAACTACAACTACTGGGGTCCCGGTCCGCCGCCACCGATGCAGGGCTACTACCAGCAGCCACCGCCGCAAATGAACGGCTGGAACGGCTATCCGCAGAATGGCTGGAATGCTCCGCCGCCGCCACCGCCAGGCCCGCAGCAGTGGCACCCCAGTCAATGGGGCTGTCCGCCGCCTGTGCAGCCACCGGCAGGTGCAGGGGGTCCGCCAATGGATCATCATCGCAACGGGCCGCCCCCGCCGGCGCCGGGTAACTGGAACATGCCGCCCAATGCCCCGCCACCCGTACCTGGAGCACCGCTGCCGCAGGGTCCACCGCCACACCAGCAACCGCCTCCGAATTTCGGCAGCGGCTATCAGCAGAGCTACGGTGGGGGTCCTACCAAGCACAACAACATGACTGCGAATCGCATGAACCCCTATGCGACAGCTCCCCCCAACAATTACCGTGAGTGGATGCGCCAGGCGCGGTATATATGTGAATGAATTCATGAACTATTTCGCCCACAGACAACACACAGCCGCCAGCCTCTGGCTACGGGCCGTACAATTCTCCAGCTCCGCCGCCGAATGGAAACGCACCGCCGCCAAAGGGCGTGTCAAACGGTTCGGTGGCCGTTGGAGGCAGTGCCAATAGCAAGTATCGCCGCTAGATCGCCGGTAAGTAGAGCGCCCTGCGGCCGCATCCCGTCCCTCCCCGCCATTTAGCTGTCGTTTAATTGATAAGAAAAGCCCCCCCAGATACGTCTTGCCGCCCCATATGTATATGTTTAAAAATGTTTAACGTATGAACTAATGTGTACAATTCTTTTTGATTTAGATGCCTTTTTGTGCGCACTTTGTGCAGCAAAAGAAAGATTCAAGGTACTCTTAAGATAGCAACACACACACACACTCGCTTAGAGTTAACAAAAAAAAAAAAAACAGAAAGCACACATAAACACTGAAAAACAGGACACTTAACGCATTGTCTCTCTATCTATCATAGGACGACTTACTGCGATTTTTACTCTACACTTAAGCTATACCATTGATAATTTAACTATCGATCTAAGCCACAGACTATATGTATAAATATTTTCTAGAACAATGTTTTCGGGAGGTCCAAAGGTCCTTTAACCATTTTTTGTTGCATACATCTGAATGCATGTATGCAACCCCATTTAGAGTGGGGAGGGGAATAAGCCGATCCATGCCGCATTTTGGAAAACATTTATCTAAAATCGAATCGGATGGATGGATTACCAGTGCTCTCTATATTTCCAATCCTCCCAATCTCTGTAATTTTTCGAAACCAAGCGTCCGTGCAGCGCGCGTTTGCTTGCAAAAAAATATTAACTAAGGATTGACAAATGAAAGCAATAAATCAATTAGCAATTAGATACAAATTACGCAGCTTTAGCCTGAGCTTATTGGCCATAATTCGTATAGCTAGATAATAGAGCCTTTGTATTACCTAACAAAAAACAAACAAATGCAAAAAAAGATACGTCCAGAAATAACATAAACGTAAACAACAAGAGAAAAAAGAATAAGTAAATCAAATCAAATCAAACGCTGAGCTGGCGGGCGTAGCACGGGTGTGTGGCCTTAACCTATCGATGTACACACGAGTTGATATCAAAACTATTGTCAATTTTTATAGAGCAACAAGATTATATACACCATACGACTACTATTGCTATACAAGACAACACCAAACATGATTCTATAATGCTGTAAAAAGGTTTCTCCACACCAAATGTCATTGAACTACCCGCTCATTCCGCCGATTGACTGGATTAACACGTTATGCTGGCAGATAACCTTCCTTTGAGTAAAGAAGGAAGTTCCTTAAGTAAATTAGAATGCCTAGAACTTGCCAAAACCCATTAACATTCAATCCTATTGTCCCCATTGGAAACTAATTCATTCAGTCTAGTTTTACCATTTATTACCAGAAAGGTATTGCATTCTCATAATCCAGTCAATCAGTAGAATTACGATAATACGCGCATGTTTCTTTATTATTTTTAAAGCTTTTGGGCAGAATTCCTTTGTTTTTGTTTGACAAAAGATGAGAATACAAATAATTATACGCAGAAATTATATGTATATCTATATATGTATAGTATGTATTTATATTTGAGTACGAACCACGACACACGGAACTCTAAGTTAAGTTTAGATCCACAGTTTAACTAGATGTACGAATCATTATTCTCTCTTTCTACAATATTATTAATATATTATACTATATGTATATGTATGCTTACGTTCTGTAGCTCACGCCAAAGGCTTTGAATTTGATCTATGAATTATATATTAAATATACGATTAATTATGTATTGAGAATAAGTCGAAAAAAAAAAAAAATAAGCGGAGGCTCAGTCCACAAGTCCACTTTGCCAGCTTCATTTAGAGCCACTCCTCTACTCTCTACATTTACGAATACAAAACACACTAATCACTTAACCGAAAATATATGAAAATTCGTATTTATTTTAAATAAATAAAACCTGAAAAACCAACACTATGTATCTGTATCTAAACATTTATTTTGAGCTACTATCCGGCTGTAAGTCTCTCTCTCTGTTTTCCCCGCTCTCTCTGTCGATACCGCCAAAGAAGTGAATGCCAGTCTAAGTAGTAATACTATCATAAAGATTTAGTTAATTTTTAATGCAATTCTAGGTACGCAAACGTTAACGCAAGACCATACACAAATTTCGAATTAATTTTAAACATATTTACCATGAATTCTAAGCCCTAAAACGCTTGAGACAAGCTTCTTGTTGAGTTAGCCTTAAGGTAAGTTAGCGAAGAGGCAACCACACACCAGGTGTACTCGTACTTCAGATCGTAACAATATCAATATCAAGTATAGCCTTGTCTATAAGTGCGCTTAAGTACCTTGCTTTACAACTAGCGAATCCAATCTTTAATCAGACTTTCTAAAACAAACCACAATATTTCTTTTCCAAAACAAAACATAAAAACCCTCGAAAACCTGAGCCAATTCTGGAGAGAACAAGGACCAAGGACTGGCAGCTACACTGAAGGTAAGTTATAGATTATTTACTGAAATTTTGTATGAATAAAACCTATAAATAATAAAGAAAGAACTATGAAAAATTGAATACCTTTTGTGTGTTTTCTCTCCGAGCGAACATGTTGCAAGGCAGCACGTTTGAGGCGACGGCTCCAGAAGTGTTGCATGGGCTCCAATCTTTTCAGCGGCTGTGCGGGCGATCCATAATCATTTCGTAGCTTTTTCAGGCCAACCATTCATTCGCCATCTATCCCCCAACGCGAAAGGAATTGCACTTGAGCAACACATAACATAACATATAGTGAGTACATGTCTTAAAGAACGCAGTGAATAATACGGGTTGGAGAGGTTTCAAAGTTCATTGGATCGTTTTGGATTACGGCAGTCTCGGCTTTGGTTTGTTCTCAAGTTTCTGTTCAAGTTCAATGTTCAGCCATATTGGCGAATCGATTGATGGTTAATTGAACTCAATTTTTGTGGAAGTTTGCCAATCAATTTCGAGTTAAGTCGGTGTTCGGTGTTTGGGTCGATGTGTTGCAAGGTTAAGAGTACCCCTTGGAAGTGCAATCATCATCATTGCTGGCAGGCAGCCTATGCAGTTCCGCGAATTAATCCAAATTGTTTTGTTTGAGGAGAGACGGCAGAAGAATCATTCGTCTAGATTTCATCAGCCTCCCAGCATAAACATCTCTCTGGGGCAGCATCACGTCATTGTTGCTAGTTTTTTTTTTTTTGTTATAATTAAACTGCAGCCCGACACACAGGCACATACATCTATGGAATGCATTTCGGCATCCAACTCTTGGGGATATTCCTGGAAATCACTACAGCCGTCTGTTTGTACATATTCTTTTCGTTTTTTGTGGCGCATTATTTTCTCTGAGATAGAGATTTTCGCTCGGCTATGAAAAAGCGACGATTAAGCAAATCTCAGTCGCCCGAAAACGGAAGCAGCCGATCCTGATAAGCAGCGGCTGTGCGATGACTGGGGCCAAGTCGGGCCTTGCGATAATCATAAGTTGTCGTTGGGCAATCCACAAGCCATTTAGTGCCCGGGGACACTTGAATTAGGGCGACATCTTGAGCTGATTATAATGGATCTATGGAAATATGGTTTCGTTTCTAACATTAAGGTCAGTTTTAATCAGGGACAGTGCTATCATACCCTACCTACATGGAAACATCGCATATACATACTATATAGTATATAGTAGATGCCTCAAAACCACACATGTATTCCATTTAGAGATGACTTCATAAACAAGATCTTTTTTTTGAAAAGCTTTTTGCCATGTGTTCGACATGCTTTATGGACAATTTTCTTGAGGCTGCAGTTTATACAGAAATGTTTGAAGAGTGCAAGGGAAATGGCAGCGGAAACGTGGAAGAAATATAACAAATTTAGAGGGAGATTTCTTAGATTTATCAAGGAAGTTTCCTTGATAAATGGAATGCAATTCTGAAATTTCCACCAAAGTTCTTATTGGATTACTTTTCCATATCCACTATTTCTGCGGGTACCACCCCAAATTATAATAAGACATTTTCCTTCCCCTGTCTTCCATAAGAACAATGTGTTTGCATTGTTTTCATTTGTGTTTTTGCACAGATCCATAAATTCACTTACAAGATAGATCGACAATTCTTTCCGTCTGCATCTGCAACTGTACGAAAACGTACTCGTTTGACCTCTTGAACTCTGGGGCGCAATTTCGCCGCCGTCTTCAATTGTCTCTGATGGGAAAAAGGCACCGCTAATGCCGATGCATCAGCGGTGCTTCCGACATGAGTGAAGGCATGTAAACCAACCCTTAAGGGTAGGGGTAGGTTACAGCCAAAGATCGTTACGTTCCTTGAGCGGTACAGTTACGTTTTGAAAATAAACCGCTCTTTACTCTAAAGATCTTCTAGAAGATGCGTTCCATCTGGCTGTTGCTCGGATTGGCGCTGTTGGCCTTGTCGCAGGTCCAAGCCGCCGAGGAGGATCTGGATCTCTCAGATCTGGACCTGTCCGATATGGATGAGAACGAAGAGGAGTTCCTGCGCCTGCTGGAGGAGAAGGCCAAGGTGGGATCATGATCAAAGCGACATCTCCGGAATTGATATTCAAGCATTTTGAAACTCGTTCACAGATCAAGGATGTGGAGCGTGAGAATGAGATTGCCAACCAATTGGCCGCCGTTCAGCACAACCTCCTCAATCCCGTCGTGGAGGTGGATCTGTGCGAGACCATGCCCTGCGGTGCCGGCCGCATCTGCCAGTTGACCAACGAGAAGCCCGAGTGCGTGTGCATTCCCGACTGCCCCGAGGAGGTGGACACGCGTCGCCACGTCTGCACCAACACCAACGAGACCTGGCCGTCGGATTGTTCCGTCTATCAGCAGCGCTGCTGGTGCGACATCCAGCACGAAGGCTGCCGCAATCCGGACAACGCTCACATGCACATCGACTACTATGGCGCCTGCCACGAGCCCCGCATCTGCGACGGCGAGGACCTGAAGGAATTCCCACGCCGCATGCGCGACTGGCTGTTCAACGTGATGCGGGATCTGGCCGAGCGCGACGAACTGACCGAGCACTACATGCAAATGGAGCTGGAGGCGGAGACCAACAACTCCCGGCGCTGGTCCAATGCTGCCGTTTGGAAGTGGTGCGATCTGGATGGTGACACCGATCGTTCCGTATCCCGCCACGAGCTGTTCCCCATCCGGGCGCCGCTGGTGAGCCTCGAGCATTGCATTGCCCCGTTCCTGGAGAGCTGCGACTCGAACAACGATCATCGCATCACCCTGATCGAGTGGGGCGCCTGCCTGGAGCTGGATGCCGATGACCTCATGGAGCGCTGCGACGACGTCCAGAAGGCACAGCCGCATCTCTTGGGCTAGAGAAACGCCCGCCGCTTATGCTTATATGTTTAACAATCCTATTTTTCAACACATTTTTCGTGCACAAAGTTTATTGCAACAATTTGTAAAATGTCTCTAATAAATTCTTTTGGGGAAATAACAGGATTTGAGTTTTTATTATAATTTTTATTAAATTTATTCGTGTAATTACTCGGCGCTTATACTTATCTATGCTTTACTTTCCGCTTTCATCTGTTATATAATCTTCGATCGCTCATTGCATTTCTTTTATCCTTTCACATTTTTGTTTAAGATTATAAAAAATAATGCGTGCGCGTATATATTTTATGGATGTGTGAGATTTGGGTGCTTGAGGGGTTTTGTTGTGTGTGTGTGTGTGTTGGCCTGGGGGCAGATATCTATAATTACATATAATTATGCTTTCTTTTGTGTGAGGGTAAATATGCGTTGCCGTCGCACAGAAATTATTAAAATTACATGTTTTTCCTCGTCGGTAAGTTTGGATCTCTCTACACGGTTCTTCGGAATTTAATCTTAAAACATCGTATTTTTTAAAAAAGAGGGTGTCAAATGTGGGTTTGGCAGTTAGTAGGCCTGCGAAAGGATCACATTGCCCTTTCGCTGTGGATCCTGGACGGTGTCCTCTTTCTTGCCGATAAGCGACTTGTGAATATGGGGAATGACACCGCCGCCGGCGATGGTTGCCTTGATCAGACTGTCCAGCTCCTCGTCTCCGCGAATGGCGAGCTGTAAGTGGCGCGGTGTGATACGTTTCACTTTCAGATCTTTCGATGCATTTCCTGCCAATTCCAGAACCTAAAATCCAAGGAAAGCACACAAGTCTCGAATTAGTCACCCGTTAACATAGGAATACCCTGTAACAGCACAGCCATCTGTTAAGCATTTACATCTATATATATGCATTTGTACAGAGAGATAGTACCGCTATGGATGCTCTCAGAAAAAGAAGAGAGGCGGGAAAAATCAAAAAATCAAACTTACCTCAGCAGTCAAATATTCCAATATGGCAGCGGAGTAGACGGCAGCGGTGGCACCAACGCGTCCATGAGATGTAGTACGACTTTTCAGATGACGATGGATACGGCCAACGGGGAACTATATTCAAAACAGAAAACCCACAAATCAATTACTAGGTTGTTTATGTTTTGCTACCCTCAAAACAAACCCACACACACACGGCAAAGCACACACCCTGTATGTGGTGGTGAATTATGCTCACCGAGGTGAGAACACAAAAAGGCGCCAAAATGTACAGCAGACAACAACAAATATAAGGGAAATTACTCACCTGAAGACCAGCGCGCGCTGAGCGGGAAACTGCCTTCGCCTTTGCTTTGCCCGAATCCTTGCCTGCTTTACCACCAGCCTGTCGAATACGAGAGCAAAACACACACACAATTAGTTAAACACACCGAAAACACAGAAGCCAGCAGCAGAAATACGCGTAGCGTACAAGATGGAGTCGGCCGCTGGCCGAAGTGTGAGGTTAAACACGATGTGATTGTCGCCGCCGCCACCGCAAAGTACAACAAATGTGAACATTTCTCGAAACTAAACGATTTAGGGAGATGTTTTCAATTTTCGCGCTACGTGGGCATCAATATTTGATTTGCTGTGCCCCCTGGCCGCTCGGCGGGGCACGCGCAATAAAGTACAGAATGTAGCTGCCGCTAAAATTTCTGCCATTAATTACCATTTTATTTCAATCGATTTTTCGCTCTCGTGGGGTAATGTAAACTGCTCAAAGGCACTTTGGGTATTCGCGCGTTTTGGAATGACTATTAAAACCGAATTGAAGCGCGCAGCAATTGCTTTTAACGTGATTTTCGTTTTCGTGAATTTCTTCGACGCGTCCGCACTTTTTATGAAAAAAGACGCCGTCAGCGGTGTGACCGAGTTGTCGATAGAAAATATGCACTCGGAAATATACCGAAATATACCTTGAAGACAAGGAACATTGCTTGTCGAAACTCGGCGGGGTGAGGTTTGTACGAAGCTTGAATGGTATTTGGCTGTTTTTGCCTGTTGTCCATACCCTCTTTTTATGGCCCATTCGAAATCACTCATTTTTTCGTTGCACGTATGAGCAGGTGAGACCCTCTAAAACTCAGAAATATACCGTCAATATACCGATGAAAAACGCACTAAGCCCACTTAAACCCTTTTATTTACACAGAAGAATAGCTTGAGTTAAATACTATTAGTAATAATACTAATTATATTGTAGATTCAGCCTGTCCTTTATTTTTGTCTACCTGGAGAGTAGTGGAGAGTATTAAAATACCCACTGGTCGACAACGGGATAATCGTTATCGGTCCACGATCAGAAATCATATTCCTTGATTTTTATTTTCTTTTGAACATTACTAGCTGGCTAGAACTTCTAGCTCTGAACACATAATTTTATACAACAAGATATGCGCATTTTAATTACTTTTTTTGATTTGATTGTGTCTAAAATAAAGTTTAAAAAGAAAAGGTCAAAGCATAACAAAAACTTTTCGGCTATCGATACTATCGACTGGATACGAAGGTGCCCGCCAAAGTATATGCTGGCTTTTACAGCTCTAATCACAATTTTTTAAATTCTTAAAACCTAACCTTTTTTCTGGGACCGTAATGAGTGAATGAAATTATGTAAATCAGGCGAATGATAAATAATAAGTGAAGCGACAATGACAGTCGCTTAAATTTAAGCAAAATATTTATTCTTCATCCGGAGAAATATTTTTTAAATATTTATGCTTTTGTTGATCATTTTTTGGGTTTTACTCTCCAGGTGTGAAATTGGTTCCGAACAATATGTTGCAAGCATTCGCGGCCACATTGCGACGTGCTACTTTCTTTGAGCACCCATAGGCCGTAATCTTCTGGTTGTCAACGATCACACCGAGACGTTGGAGCTCGACGTCCTTGTCATAATACAAATACTTAATTCCAGGGCGCATCTAAAAAGGAAACAAAAAGAACATTTGGTCAGGTGTATTCGAATTTTACTACATTCTCTGATTTGAGTGAACCTACAATTTGGAGCAATGAGGCCGGGTGCATGGTCTGCCAGTTTGGTGGCAATTCGGCACGGCCTCGTGGATTCTTCTGTTCCTTGGGGACGATGGAAACGGCTGATTTGGCGCCTTCCTGCTGCGGCTGTGCTTTTGCCAATGAATGCTTTTCGGGCCGAAAGTAACCGTTGCGCTTCCACTTTCTGAATAATTTATACATTGCATACGATGCCAAATTGAGCTTTAGGATATCTTCTTCGCTTTCATTGTCGCTTCCATCGCTGTCCATGGATTCTGCGACATGGTTGGTCGATGGTTGGTTTTCCTCATCATTGGTCTTCGGTTTGCGTGGTCTAGCCTTCATTTTTGCAATGGCATAATCACGCAATGCAGCCTCACAGGCCAATTTCTTGGCCGCCATCTTGGAGACCGCCTTTTTCTGGTACTGGTTCGAGTTGACCGTGACTATGGCAGTGTAGCAGCCATCAGGATTGCTATTGATGGTAAAATCACTTATTTTAATGCCCTTATCCTTATTGAGCTCGTTGAGAACGATCAGGGCATTTTTCGGTTTCATCGACTTGCGTAGATATCGCGAGTGCGTTTCAATGACTTCATGCGCTTCAGGATGACCAACGATTCGTCCTCGCAAGTTGTTGACGGTGCATCTTTGGATGCTGGCTTTGGAGTCGGAGTCATTTTTCAATTTTTCAAATTAAATTATTATAACTCGCGCGTTTGGTTTATTGTCAGATACGATTTTGTATTTCTGGAAAATAATATCGATAAGCCGGAAATTTTCACCGATTTTTTATTTCGTTTCGCACCGCTCGCGAAAATTGTATACGAGAATGGTGAATGGCAATTCTCCCCTTCGCGCTATTTGTGGCGGCATTTTGAGCAGAAAAAAAACTCCTGCATTTATTTAGAGCCTACGCCCGACACAGAATCCAAACGCGGCACACATAATGCCTCGCGCCGTGAAACCCAAGACAGCTGCCGGCCCATCGCCGGCCAAAAAAGCCGCACCCGCCAAGAAGGCCAAGGGAAAACTATATGCCATGCCGGAGAAGCTGAAGGAGGGCACTGTTTTACAAGACCTGGCCAAGGGGAAATGGTGCATTGGTCCGTCGATTGGCATTGGCGGCTTTGGCGAGATATATGCGGCCGCCCGCGCCGGTGAGAAGAACTACGACGCTGTGGTGAAATGCGTGAGTACCAATCAATAAGAATCCAAAGAGCCTTTGTTCTCGAACTCTGTCTTGCAGGAGCCTCACGGCAATGGGCCCCTGTTCGTGGAGATGCATTTCTACTTGCGCAATGCCAAGCAAGATGACATTAAGCAGTTCAAGCAGCAGCGGGGCCTCAAGACCCTGGGCATGCCGTACATCCTGGCCAGTGGCTCAGCGGTTGTCAACGGTCAGAAGCATCGCTTCATTGTGATGCCGCGCTACGGCAGCGATATATCAAAGTTCTTCAAGGAGAACGACAAGCGCCTGCCGGAGGGCACGGTCTATCGCCTGGCCCTACAGATGCTGGATGTCTACCAGTTTATGCACAGTACTGGCTATGTTCATGCAGATCTGAAGGCGGCAAACATCCTGTTGGGCCAGGGCAAGGCTGGTGCGGCCCAGGCCTACCTTGTGGACTTTGGCCTGGCCTCACACTTTGTGACCGGCGAGTTTAAACCGGATCCCAAGAAAATGCACAACGGCACAATCGAGTACACATCGCGGGACGCCCATTTGGGTGTGCCCACCAGACGCGCGGACTTGGAGATTCTCGGCTACAACATAATCGAATGGCTGGGCGTGGAACTGCCCTGGGTCACACAGAAGCTGCTGGCGGTGCCACTCAAAGTACAGAAGGCCAAAGAAGCCTTCATTGAGGATGTCGGGGCTGCACTAAAGGCTCTTTTCCCCAAGGGAGTGCCGGTTCCCCTGGGGGAATACATGAAGTATGTGGCCAAACTGAAGCACAATGAGGAGCCGGACTACGACAAGTGTCGCAATTGGTTCTCGACGGCTCTCAAGCAAATGAAGATCCCAAACACCGGCGACTTGGACTTTAAGATAAAGCCCCAAAGCAGCAGCAACAACAACCACAGTCCGCCAGGAACCAGCAAGGCAACAGCCACAGCTGCAGCTGCAGCTGCACCCAAAAGGGCCAAGAGGGTTGCCTCCCCTGACATAATTTCCGACAGCGACGAAGAGGAGGAGGCTCCACGCAGGAAGCCACAGGCCAAAGCTTCACCAGCGCCTCGCAGGAACGCCAAAGTCACGCCGACTATCTCGCCCCGTAAACGGTACGCAGAGACCAGTCCCACACAAAAGCGAGTTAAGACTGAGCCGAATGGTACACCCAAACCTCGCGCTACTCACAGAGCAGCCGCGAGCCCCAGGGCTCGGGCCTCTCCCAGAGCAGCCGCGAGCCCCACGGCTCGGGCCTCTCCCAGATCTGCAGCTAGTCCCAAAGCCCGGACCCCAAACGCAGCCAGTGCCAGCTTCAGTCCAGCGCTCTCCCTGCGCGCAAAGCACGGTAAGACAGTCGTCAACGATGACCTGACACCCAAACCGCGCTCCAACAAGACTTACGAATTCAACTTTGAGTTAGACGTCAGCATGGACGCCAATGTCATTGTGAATGTGAAGCGCAAGAAGAAGGCCGGGGCCAAGGACCAGCCCACTGGCGAAGGCGACGTGAAAACCCCTTCGTCACGGAGCCTGGCTTCCTCCAAGGAGGATACGCCCGTGACCCGTGTGAATCTGCGGAAGGTGAATGCGGAGGGGGTCCCCGGTTCGCCGCTAGCCGCCGCTGCCTCCTCCTCCAGCAGCCGCAGTCCCAGGACGCCAGCAGTAACTGTGCGCAAGTACAGACGCTAGAGAGGCACCTCTTTGTTTTTTTGAATATTTCCATACGATTACTTATACTTAAACCTTGAATAAAACTGCAGATGCATTGAATATTTTCCCAGAATTTGGGTATAAATTTATTACTTAAGAAATCCGTTCTATTCTATATCTAAATGAATGCGTGTTGTGGACTATTGAATGGCAGTCAGCATTCAATAGTAATAGTTTCGTCATTGCTTCGATCTTCGTTTGCTGCCGCCGCCGCTGCTGCTGCTGCTTTCGTGGTGCTTCGAGGAGCTGCTCTTGCTCGAACTGGATTTGGTATTCGAGCCGCTCCGACGCGATGTAGATGAGGTAGGGCCAGCGCTATGCTTCTCCACACCACTGATGGCAGTCAATGAGGGAGCCACCGACTTGCTGGCACGCTCCTCTTTGTGCGACTTGGAGGAGGACGATGATGACGACTTGTGGCCTTGTTTGCTGCTGCTGCTGCTGCTCGCATTGGTAGAGCTGCTCGGCTCTGGCCTGTAGAAGGGTGAGGATGAGTTGGAGGATGTCGAGGATCGTGAGGATGCGCCCGATGCGGTTTTGCTCGTCTTGCTGGCGGCCAGCGGCATGGGATCGTCGGCGATAAAGATTGTTGGCGGGAGTGTCGCCGCCGCCGCCGCTGCAGTGGCCACGGACCGACTGCTTGTAGGTTTGTTGCAACAGGTATCGCACTGCCAGGTCTGCTCCTGATCGTCGGCCGCCTCTTCTTTGGTGATGGGCGGTTTGTGGCACTCCTGATGGTACATAGCCCCGCATTTGGAACACTCAACAAGCCGATTGGTGGCCGTGAACATCATCTCGCCACAGACACAGCAATTCAAATCGCCAAAGTCGCCGGTGTCGCCTGTGTTTACAATGCCCGCCGCACTGAGGCACTCGTCCGAGTCGATAATGGTGTCCACAGAGTCCGAGGGATCCTTGTCCGGCGAGTTGGTCAGATTGATGATCTCATCCGTGTTGATGGGCTGCGGTGGGGTGGGCGCACGCCCTGGAAAGCTCATCTCATCGTCCATCATGCGCTGGGTCATGTTTTGCGTGACACTCTTCTCCGGGCCGTACCTCGCCCTCAGCGCTTCGTCCAGCAACAGGCGGAGTTCGGATGCAGACGTCGAATTGCTGGAATGCAGCAGTTTGATGGCCTTCTTCAGCACAGGATCGACTTCCTGGGGCACCGCAACAGCCGCGGCAATATTGGCAGCCATCGCAAGTGATCAAAAGTGATTTTTAAATTACAATTTAATAATTCGAAAAATTCTTCGCAAGCGCAACAGCTGTTTTTGGGCCAGGGTTGTCGCTTCCTCCGCGGGTGCTTCTTCTTGCAGGCCGTTGCTATTCACCCACCCACACACACAAACACAAACACAAAATAACAGTTCGATTCACCGCTGGCTCTGCTGCCAAAATAATTAAGCCGAAATAAGCAGGTATATTAGCCCTAATAGTGTGCCATTGTTTGCCATATACGCTCCGTGTGAATCATGTCGTGATATTGCGTCTCAGTGCAGCCCCCGGCCTGCTGTGTGCGCTGGAACAGCCAGAACATCCAATCTCCCTCTCTTTTCCGCCGCGGTCCGTTGAAAAATCGAAGAGAGGCGCAACAGCAAATAGCTCACTCGGCTCTCTATCAAAATAAACAGTTAACAAGACGAACGTTGTGATAAGGCCAGGCCGATCAAATTGCTTTGTGTGCAAAAGTGTTAATCTTTTCGGGGCATTACTAATAGATCCAAGTGCAGAGACGACCAGTTATAGATTCTCCCATTTCTTGAATTTCGTTTAGGCCGTTGACTAGTTGGGGAAAATGAACTGCAAAGCGGCTCAGGATACGCCGAAGCGGCGGGTGCATCGAATGGTGAGTGATACTTACATGATTACTAATTGCTTACAAGTAATTTTCGTTATCTTTTCCAGATAAAAATGCGTTGCGGCTTTCCATATATAGCTGTGGTTTCACTTCTCCTACTTTTGCTATGCGGCGGTTCTGCGGCCGATCAGCTGGTATGTTTGGCTAGGAGGGGAGCGACTGGAGTTGGTTTGGTGCCGATTGGTTTGCCCTGGCTTGTGGCGCCACAAACAGCTGTGAATGCGCACTTGTTGCCGCATTCTATTGGCCAAGAAAGAACAAGAGCTCCGGCCAGTGCATAGCTTTATCTCTGTTCTTGTCTTTGTTTGTTGGCTGGGCCAATTAGGAATCAATCAAGTCGCAATAGACCCGATAACAGTTCCAACTGTTGCTGGAACTGTTATGGCCCTGTTAATAGCTGTACTAACATTTGCACATCTTGCAGAACTTTACCACCCAAGAGTGCAAGCTCAAGGAGCCCATTTATGGCAATACGTTCGACTTTAGTGCCCTCCACTCGGACCTCGCTCATGTGGTGGAAAGTGCGGGCAATGGGGATGACAAATTCGAGTTTAATGTTTGCGGCAATCTCTCCAAGACGTGCAATGGAGAGACCAATGTGGCGGCCTGTCTCAAGAAACAGGACAAAGAGTATGTCCTGGGTAAGCGTTTGCAATGAGTTGTCTTCGAAGAATCCAATTTAAATCGACTCTTCCTCCAGGACGCCAGCACGAGCTGCATTACTACAATGGCAAAATGTACTTCAAGTATTTAAGCGGCGCCAAATGCGAAAATGGTACCGCAGATAATCCAAACTACCAGCTTCATGTGATCCTCAGCTGCGATTACACTTTGGATGCCAATCCCATGCATATTACGCGATATGTGAGCAGTTTATAGCGATTTTGAGACAAGTTTTCACAGATTTTCATGTTTTTCTCGTAGGCCAACGACGCCTGCTCCTTCTACATCACCTACGAGACGCCGCTGGCCTGCCTGCCCATTCCGGATGCAGTGCAGTCGAACAGCTGCAGCGTAAGGGACACCAAAACGGATGGAACATTCGATCTGCTGCCTTTGAGCGACACCAATTACAGGACCAGCAACCGGCAGGGCTCTGTCTTTCTGATTAATGTGTGCAAGCCCGTGCTTTATGGAGAAAATAGCATGTGTCCGCCTGGCAGCAGCATATGCCTCTACTCTCCCAAGGCCACAAATAATTCAGAGCGGTGGGTAGTCTCTCATATATAGTTATAAAAGAACGAACACCAGTGGTAAAGCAATGCATTTCTTGTAGATTCATCAATTTCGGAACTGTGCAGTCGCATCCCGTGGTGGAGAACGGACAGCTCTTGCTGCGACACGAGTCGCCCACGGCTTGTGCCCGCAATTCCAGTGTGAATTACACCAGTGTCATATACTTTAGTTGTGACAAGACCATAATGGTGGGTGGCCCCTCATTTTTCATTGTCTTGGAAACACTAACCATTTGTTGGCCTTGCAGAATGCACATCCCGAATTCGCGGGCCTCGGAGCAGACGAGTGCACGTACCAGTTCAACTTTGTAACACCGCTGGCCTGCAATGATCTCAAGCCCTGCACGGCACTTACCTCCACCAATGAGCTGTGAGTGCGCCGCGCGATATTTATAATGATTGAATCTAAATCAGCTTGAGTTTCGCCCCATAGTTTGGATCTCAGTTCGCTTAGTAGCCAGCCAGCGCATCACTTGTCCAAAGATGGTCGCAACTACACGGTAGCCGTGTGCGCCAGTGCAGGAAATCCCTGCCAGGAGAATGGCGGTAAGTCGGAATATTAATTAAGGCAAACGAAAATGGTTTTTGCCTGAAAGACATTTAATATGTCCCATAGCATAATTTAGAAAAACACTGGCTTTAAAACGCTTGCAATTCTTTCGGATTAATGATTTTTAATGGCCCTTTCGCTCGAGTAGCCTTTTGGAAGCAATAATCGTCTTGGCAACCTCCCCATACGGTGCAAAAAGATGTGATGGGAGGGGCAGCGGTGGTCAAGTGTTGACCATTTCATCCGTTTTGCATTAGTGCGCTCATGCGTGGATATTTGTGGGGGTCCTTTACGCCCACACACATACATACTATATGTATGTTCTGCTGTTGTATAAGTGAGGTGGGAGATATTTAGGTTTGTGATGTGGTTCCGTCATATATTTACATAATTTACGGCCCTGCGTGGCGTGTGCACAACCGACTCTTTCCGTTTACGACTCCCAATGGAAAATAAATATACATTACGTATTTTTCAATAATAAGTAAAGTATTTAAGTGGATGTTTATGTGCCCTATTTAAAGGGGAGCCCTTAAAGTTGTCAATATGGTTATTTTCTTGGTCTTTCGTGTCAATCCGTTTTCCAATTATTGTACGGACTGCTTTATGGGCCCCACATATCACAATCTCTCTCTCTATTTGTACCCCTATTTTATAGTCCTTTGTATGGCCTGCATCCACATGAGGCCCATACGTTGCCGCCGTATTGCAAATAACAACTTTTCCGTGATGTGCGGCCTGTTGGCATGGCAAATGTGTGCCTCTCTGTTGTTCATGCAACACAGGCCCCACGCATGCACGCAGCACGTCAGGCAGTGTGTCGGTGTGTTGTCCTGCATTCATAGTTGACTGCAGACGCATATCCTTTTTGGTTCGCTGGCTCTCTTTTCCCGCGAGTTAGAGCCAGCTCGGCACTCCACACAGAGATACCGTGGCCCACTGCTGGGACCTCGGCATAAACAAATAAATAAGTGTGCGCTCCCTTTTGCCAAAACTGATGTCCAGGAGAGGCCTTGGCACGGAGGAGCTGCATACATGAAATTTTCATTTGTTAGGCAAATAGCAGACGCACACAACTGGTGGGGCTCGCAGGACATGGCAGGGCTTTTGTAAATACACACACACACACACACACATCCGTACACAGATACGGATACAGATACGCGTTGCAGGCTCGCTGTTTGGCGCCCAGCTGACACGGGCAGACAGCATATTGCTGCCTCCTGCCATTCCACTCCTCTCCATTAAAATCTCCTGGTTTACATAGTTGAATTCAATATTTGAAGGCATTTGGCAGTGGCAGTTTGCTCTGGTTGTGGCCCCGGCCCTGGCTCTGGCCCTGGCTCTGGCCCTGGCTGTCTGCCTGCAACTGAATTATGGCCACGCCCCCACCCACCAGCCGACCCAGCCAACAGCTCCTTCCTAATCCACGCCTCCAACTGCTGTTAATTGCTTATGCAGCATGCGTTGCACTGTCATTTTGTGTAATTTTCCTACATTCTACATTTCTATTTATTTATGGCGCGGAACGCCAAGCAAATTGTATTTTTGCGTGGACCTGCGGTGGCCATGCCCTCGGGTTATGTGCGTGCTGCTGCAACACGTAACCTGATGCTGCAGATATCACGTTGACATCCCCCCCTCCCCCACGTCAACATCAATTTTACGCTTTTCCATCTGTCTATATGTCTAAGTAAATTTGCAATTATTTTGCATCACATCTAGGACTCTACGGATCACTCAATAAGTGCCAGCTTTATTTGATTTCGTTATGTGCGGCCCTGTACAGTCGACAGTTTGGTGTTGGCCAGGTTCAGAACGCGGAGGAACATGCCCTGGCCCCCCTCCACATGTGCCGAACCGCACAGCTCCTCCTCCCAATAAGCAGCGTCGTTGGCCAGTTGCCTCTGCTCCGGTGTGAGATTATCGTTGGGCTCCTTGCGCACTTCTTCTGGCAGTTTGATAACTTTTTTCGAGTCGAGTTTCCGCAAGGTGTCTGATCGAGTATACATTGACTTACGTCGCTTATAGGCCCGTTTTGGAAATTGGACTGTTGTCTGCTCTTTTAGCACGGTTTTCTTATTCTTTTCGGCACGGGTAGTCATCTGGCTGCTCCATTGAGAAAGAGCATGTAGAGGGGCTTTTTGTGACTCTCTGAATTTCGGAGATTCCTTCTTCCCCAAAGCTGGTTCGCTGTTCCATTGAGCGAAAGCCGAGCGCCACACGTTTTCCATCGAAGAGTCCGAGCCGGATCTCTTCAAATCTGTGGAATGCGTTTGTTGTTAGCTAATGATATATTACATTTTACAAGAACAGAACATGGACTTGCCCGTTTTGGCCAGCTGCAGTTGCGACTGCGCCTTGGCTGAAAAATTCCGCTGCTGGGCCTGCGACCGTTTTGATAGTGCCTCCGACATCGGGAAAATGTTCCTGTTATAGAGCTTGCTATTAGTAAATGGAAATCGGTTTATATAGCGCACTCACCGAAAGCGTTCTTAAATTTTTTCAGAACTTTATACGAAAACGATGAGACGCAAAATTGGTAGCCACTTTTCCTCTCTTTGCAACACTGTTACGTTGCTGCAAAAACCGTATTAATCGCGAAAGCTATCGAAAACTGCGTGAAAGAGAAAAAGGCCTTAAGACATTAGACTTATGGGAGAAGCATGCAGTGAGAGCGAGAGAAATATATGTATCCATCTGCTTGGTCTACCATTTTTGTTGCATCAGAAATGGTGGATTGCCACACTTTTCAGATATTGAATTCTGCTCGATGGCTGGCGCTCTGATCCGGAACACGTTTCTATAGACAGCTACGGACTATAGATATATAATAGTCTAATATCTAATAGTCTATATAGTATTTTTACACGGCAAAACGTATATTGTACTTCAACTTGAGGCAGTAAGAGCAGATATCAAGATCAAAAAACCGTATAAAAACAGAATTAGGTGTATATTGGAATACGATCATATGAAAAGCATTAATCATCCGTGAGTGTCGCCAATGTCTATTTATCTCAGTCTATCTTTTTAGTCTAGCTCTCTTTGCCTCCCCTCAAGGGTAAAGGCATTCACACAAAACGCAGTTGAATACGCTGTCTCGCTCTGTCACACACAAGAGCATTCATTCATATGCATGCACATTAAATGCTTTTAGAGTAGTGGTAAATGTTAATAGTATTGGTGGCGTCTTTGCTTTTGCGAACGGAAGCCCGAGTAAAAAGGAGAGTGATAAACAGGCTTGAAGAAGAAATACTCGGTTACGAAAAATATCGAGTAACGAGTACGCGTTATGGGTACCACGTGTTTTAGTTTTACTTTATAACAAATCCAAAACGCTTGTCAGGTAAGTCCATCATTTTATTACTGAGTACAATTTTCAACCAAAGAAGAAGTTTTCAATGATTGCCGATAATTGAGGTGGAAATTAGCCATAGTCGGAGACCCAAAGAGGCAGTGGTCTTGTTGAATTTGATTGTACGGCCTTAAGAAATTAATTTTGTATGGAAAATAAAGCATTGTCTGGCATTGAGTCTCAATGGTCTCAATATCACCGCCTCCTAAGGGCTGAACACCATTGCTTCAATGAGTTTCTAGCTTCTAATCAAAGCTAGACAAAGCCCTTAAGCAGCAGTATATCAAATTTGCACAACAAAAACCAACTCAAGAGGCGACTTTTTGTTGCCTTTCCTGAATATGGCAACGCTTCAATGTTGATAATTTTTTCTGTTTTTATGCTTTTTGTTTTGTGTATATTTTACTCCTTTTTATGTGCTGCCCTCGGTTTCCTCTGGTTATTTGTGTTACTGCTGCCGCTGCTGCTTCTGTCGGGGCAGATTCAATTTGGAGCAACACCATATTCTGGCCAGAACCAGAACCAGAACCAGAGCAGGAACCCTCTCCTTCTGCTGCCGCCCCCCGACCGTAACTAACACTTGCCGGCAGCTGTTTGGCCAGGATGCGCCATCCAAGTGGCATCAGGCAGCTACTAAATCGTTTTATATTTGTTTTTCTCGCTTTTCTCTATGGCTTTTTTTTGCCCAGGGCTGCCTGGCAGACGGCTGCTGGTCAATGTTTTTAGGGATTCCTGGGACCTTTCTTGACGGTTGTTTTCCTATTGAAATTCAATTTGCTTGAGTTTTCTTAGCCATTTCGGCAATGGTCTTTGCTCCAGCCCCGTGCCCTGGGGCCCGCATATGCGCCAGCCATGAAATATATTTTGCGGCAAAACATTTCCACTCGCCCTATCAATGCCACAAAGTCAGCTCCTTGAAGGGCCCCCCGCTTATACAATACAATATATGTATATTTAACCCTTTCATGCAGCTCCTCCGAAGGGCCTCGTTTCTATTTAACCCTTTCGTGCAATGTCAGGAATTTAAACAATGTTTTTGTTTCTTGGCCACAATGCGAGTTGTGGGCCCGAGGCCCCCCCCCCCCAAAGCCTTCTCCGAACAGAGATTGCATTGGGATTGAATTAATGCCAGTGTGTGGGTGTATCTGGTGTGTGTGGGTGTGTATTGGTTGTGTGTGACCAGGTCAATCTCGTTGGATAATCCTGACAAGGAAATGATTTTCACCCAAGGTGTACACTTTTCAAGTATACACTGCGACAAAGCAGTGCTAAGAGGGAACAGATTTGAATCATATATTCGTAATTTCAGGGAAGAAACAGGCACTATAAATACTGTAATAGTACTAATACTATAAATAGCCTATTTGACTATTTTTTACGCTATCAAGTTCGAGTATTTCCACCTTAAGAAAATTCAATTCTTTAGAGTTGTAATACAAGCAGTCTTTTAAGTAACAAGCAGCTGAATACATGAGTTAAAAGCAGTGCATCAAGCTCAAAAACAGCTGTTGTCGATGCCATGGCATTACTGTTACAAGCAGTGGTTTAGCATGAATAAAATCGCACTGCTTGATTTCAACACTAGTCTCGTCTCCCTCTAGCAGCTTGGTTTTCCCATAAGGCTGTACTTTTTCAACGATTGGTAGAGATTTTGAAGAAGAAAAAGACTCCATAGAGCATGTTTAAACTTCTTTTTCGTCTCAGACACGAGAATTGTGAAGTTTTAAGCATTTCTCTCAGTGCTGAAACCATATACATATAAATCTTCAGAGGACGTCTTCTGTTTCTGCTTGTGGTCGGCTAAATTCAATTGCAAGCTTCCGCCGGACACTCACAGAACCGGCTGCTGCCATAGATGTTTACACTGGGATGTAGACGGACAGACAGACCGTCCGTCCGTCCGTACATATATTGTCACGCAGGTCCCCCACAATGTCATTTATCAATTTAGTTGACAGTCCATTTCTTTTTCGATTTGGAAAAAGCCACCTCAATTGGTCTTTTTCTTCTCTTTTTCACATTTTGATTTTGATTTTCTTGTTGTTGGTCGGGGCCCTTGATCCTAGAGAGTCATGTGTGCAGGATGCGATGGGATGCGATGGGGTGCTGCTAGTATTCCTTCAATGTCTGCAATAAACTATAAAAATGTTCCACCATGGCGATGGACATGAGAATAAAGGCAGAGGGGAGCAGGAGTTGTACATACTCGTAGAGAGAGAGAGAGAAGGATGAACGAAATTACCATACTCTAGTCAAATCACAATCACAATGCTGTCTGCTCGAGGGCTCTCAATCAAAATCTGGCAAAATGTGAGTGACGTTGCTAAAAATTGTTCGGGTTGTAAGCGAAATGGAAGATTGAAAAGGGAAAAGCACCAGTGAGGACGCTGTTTATTCCATAAAATTGAGCTGTCGAATGGTACCCCCTATAGAAATAACTTTAAGCTGTGTTCAAGCAATTAAATCGGATAGTAGAATGTTCTTCTGGCCCTTCCTCAGCTGGAGGCCCATGGAAAAAACCGTCTACGAAGAGGGCAAACAACGAGAACAATTAGTTTCTCCTTTGATGGATACTGATGGACCGTGGCATGCTGTTGCTAACGTCGCTGCTTCCTTGTGTTTGCCATCCTGTAAAGGGGGTGTCCTGGGGGAAGACGCGGGCAATTCTGTCCACAATTTTGCTGAATGCTTAGCAGAGGCTTTTGAGCCAGGCCAGGATTCGCGCTGGTCTCTGTTTGCCTTTGCCTTTGCCTTGGACGTTGGCCGTTGTTTTTTTTCCCTTTGATTTTTTGACGCTTTGTGTCTACGGCCGAACACTCAATTGATGCGTGCACACTTCTTGTCCACTTGCAGGCGCCTGTTACGAACAGAATGCGGAGACCATCAGCCTGGGAAACGCCAATTCGCATCTGCGCTTCAATCAGAGCGGCTCGCTCTATTTGCTCTACGAGAACGGCGCCAAATGTCCCACTGGATCGGGCGCAACGTCGCTCTGGTCGACGAAAATCGAATTTGTCTGTGCGAACAATGCCACAAAGGACAATGGCACCACCGCTGGCGGTGGAGGCGGTGGAGCCGGCGGAACCACCGGCCGGAGCAATGCTCTGCAAATAATTGAGGACTCCAATTGTCAGCTGTTAATCCAATATCAGACGCCGTACGCCTGCCAGGAGCAGATTAGATGCAAGGCCACCGTCTACGTGGACCACACCACCGACGGCGTCGGCAGCAGCGGGGACGAGCTGATCGACCTGACGCCCTTGATTAGCGCCAGCGACAACTACGAGGCACGGGTCGAGCTGCCGGCCAGCATGGAGCATCTGGTGCCCAAAACGACAAAGGTGAGCTCCCCGTGATTTCCCCCAGGACCTGGACTGTAATTTGCTGGCTTTTGTCTTTGTAAAGCATCTACGAGTACGAGTACTTTGAGGCTCTCGTGGATGGGGGGGTTTCCAACCAAGACCATTCCAATCCATTCTAACCACTTGTATCTGTATCTCTCTCTCTCTTATGCTCTTCTCTTTCCTTGCAGTTCTATTTGAATGTGTGCCGTCCATTAGTGCCGAAATACCAATTAGGCTGTGCCGGCGGCTCTGGTGCCTGCATGGCCAAAGTGGCGGCCTCCGGTGCCCCCGAGGAGGAGCATGTAAGTACCACAGAAGGCTAACACAAAGCGAGAATGTCGGCCACGTGAATGAAGCAGCTAAAGGAGGAAAGAAAGAAAGCCGCTTATGTGCCTAAAACTCTTTGCCCAGCCATGCATCTACGTATCCGTGTGCGGTCTACTCTGGGGTTCGGTCGTAAATTGCACCTCCTTTGGATCGAAAACGTAGCCGACCCTCGTAAACGCCTCAATATGTTGGTCGTTTGGCCGAATGCCCCGCAAAATTGTGCCACCATTCATGCATTAAATATGCAGCAATCTAATTGCTAAGCTTTGCTCCCAGACCCATCCAGAAAGAAGCCTCAATGCCGCCGCCCTTATCCGAATTTCCCCAGTGGAGTGACCACTGGATTTGCTTGCTTCATTAAGAAGAGCCGGACTCGGACTGGGACTAGGACTCCGGACTGTCTGCCGTTGACAGCAGCCAAAAGTTGTTTAATGCCAAAAATCCCACTCTTGGCTCTTTGGGCTCTCGGCTCGCATCGCTGGCCACATGGCTAGTGTTCCAACTGTCCAAC